CTCGCTCAAAGGACAGATAGTTCCTGAAACGTTGGAGGCTATTGCTTATGGGAGATAACAGAGCAACTTTTTCACTCCCCTAAACAAGTTTGTTTAACCCATCTGCACCAAATGAGTTTGATCAAATGTGGTCGGGAGGTTCACGGGCAGATGTGTCGGGATGTATGCTTGGACCTGACGGGAAATACTTAAGCCAGTACAAAACTTTATTTGAGGCAATCTTCCTGGGGAACCAGAGATGGACCTGGCCAGAGCCCACCCACCTAGCCAGTATTTAATTAACACTTGCTTCAAATTTGACTGTAAACTGTGGTAGTGGTCTCGCTTTTGGCTGTTGGGATAACCATTTTTCAGAGGCCACAATGAGACTCAAACCACCAAAATTCCAAAGCTGGAAGTTCACTCTGAAACTTTGGGACTGAGGGGCCACTCAGGAGGCTCAGACTTGAGACATTCCAAGGTTCAAAGACCACCTTCAGTCCACGGACTATCGGAGTGAATCTGCCACGCTGAGAAACAGCTGTGACTCAATCTGGTTGTCTTTTATGGGATCCGTATCTGGGATGTAAACCTGTGAATCAGTCTGGTTGTGTTTTATGTGATCTGTATCTGGGATGCAGACCAGACTCCAGTACTCTTCCTTTCAGGGCATATAGCAAAACATTGCCCGCCTACCTGTTTCTAGTCGGAGAGTTTGTGTGTTTCCCATGGGAAGTTCTATTTGTATTGTTGGAAAGTTTTGTCTGTGTGTTTGTCACAAAGGTTGTATCTCCCTGTCTTGTTAGAAAGTTTTGTCTGTGTTCTCTGGGTCAGATATTTCTGTTGTCTGTGTGTGCCAGCCTCCAGTTACCGCATGGCTACGGCTACAGCGGGGACTCAGAATTTATCTCTGAGCCCTCTGGTCACAGGATTCAGGTTAGCAGGAGCTCGGATGTCTTTTTGGGATGGATAACATCAAAGTTGTCTTATGCTATGCTACTGTATGGGAAAGCTGGCTCTGGAGTGGGGTTACGACTCTCCCTTCCCTAGACCCAGGCGTGTTTAAAAGTTCCCTCTATATCCTGGGTCAGTAGAGCCATGACGCTGTCGAGAGGAAAGGAGAGGAAGCAGAACGGCCAAAAGCATCAGAGTTGGCTGACGTGAACATTCTGTACCTCAGGATTTATAAGTTTATTTTAGTGGATATGGTCAGAGATCTGTGAAATCTCTGAGAAAAGTCAACTTAAAACTAGTAACACTGGGAGTTGATAGTTTCTTTTTTCAAAAAAGAAATCTATGCCTAGGTAATCTTAAAGGAACCCGGTGGCGTGACCCCACTTGGGGGTGCAAGCAGCGCGTGGCTTGTTGCCTTTTTTAGGCAGCCACACAGCTGGATGCCATGTTTGCTAGGGTTGGAGAGGGTAGACGTCGTGTGACTTTCACCACCATCTTGATTAAAGGTGACCTCGTGGAGGGGGCCTTCAAGGAGGCAGCAGCAGGTCTCCGAGACAATTTTGGATTAGGGTGGACTCTTTTGTTTGACAATTCAAGGTTTATGAAAGACGAGAGTTAAAAAAAAACAATGCTTGTTGTTTTATAAGGTATTATAGCTGCGCCTCCATGCTTTCATACGCAAAAAAAAAAAATGTGTCTTGTGCTGGCAACCAAACATTGTCATTTAAGAGCCACCCAGGTGGTACTGGCTTTAAGGGGTCATGGAGAACAGCTGAGGCTTGCCACTTCGTTTCACGCCTAGAGCTCCCGAAGACAGCCCGGTGGCGGCGGTGGGCCTCAGGAGTTCTGGAAATGCCACTGGGGTGTTATACCCACCTGAAAGCACCAGTCACAACAAAACGGAGCAGGCTGGGATCCGGAAGGCAGGCATCTGGCTAATGGACTAGTCTCTGTCATTTTTATTGATACACAGGCCATTTGTTATGGTTTCTGCTATAATTTAACCTTCTCAGATCTCTGATGGTATTGATGGCTAGGCTAACTATGGCAGCCAGGTTCCTCCCCAAGACTGCAGCAACCTCATTTCATTTCATATATAAAAACTGGACCTTGCCTTTTGTAGAGCTACGAGGACTCTTGCCGAGCAAAGGTAGACAGGTTTGCTAATGTGCTTCATACTAAGAGATAGGCAGGTTTCAGCTGTGACTTCCCGCTAAAGGAACAGGATTTGCAAAGACCGTTCTCAGTAATGACGCTGGTAAATGATTAGAGGGAGAGAAAAGTATTGAAGTCTCTGCAAGTTTTGAGGGTCTAAGAAAATGTCCTGTGGTACACAAAGGTCTGAGGATATGACATCTTAAGTAATAATTTCTGAAGGGTCTCAGAAAGTGCTTTAAGATGTAAGTGCAAGTTGCAAAGGTGTCCATAAGTCATCTCGGGTATGTGAACATGGAGAATGTTTCAGATGTCTTTCCCACTCAATGCGATTGCTACGCTAAGATTTCAAAAGTTCAGGGTTTTAATGAACAGTGGAGTTCTGGTGAGCTAGTAGAGCACTGACTACTTACAGTTCAGCCACAAGCTCAAGATTTTAGGTTTGTTTTGGTTGTCTTTTAAGTGTTGACTTGAAAGTGCTTCTCAGCGGGCCAAAGGCAGAGGACAGAGGAAAAAAATGTTCATGATTTTGTAACCAAATCTATAGCTGCTGCTAGGGCTTACAGGTGTGTTGTTTAACAAACGCCTGTTACCTGTGCTTTCTGAAATGTGGATTTCATTACACATAAGAGCCGAACCTCTTATGTCACACGTAAGCTTCAGAGACTCTAGGGAGTCATAAGACTTGAATTCGCTTCTCATAGGTCAAAAGGACTCCAGATAAGTACAGCCTAAGTTTTCTCTCTCTCTCTCTCTCTCTCTCTCTCTCTCTCTCTCTCTCTCTCTCTCTCTCTCTCTCTCTCTCTCTCTCTCTCTGTCTCCTGGTCTTGGGACTCCTCCCCTTCCCCAATTACTAAGACTATGGACCTGAAGATTCCAAATGTAAGATTCTCCTTTAAGTTCCTAAATTTCAACTACTGTCCCTAGTCTTTATCTGTCTCAGCAGATTTCCACTTGACTGACATCCAAGCGTCAGCTGCTTACTACAATGTTCCAATGACTGTGAGCCCTGGACTTGCTGAAAGCTGATGTGGGCCAGGCAGCCAGTGAATGCCCCGTCTCTTCATCCGGGTCAGTGAACCAGATGCTTCTGACGGATGCCCCATTGCCTGAATTCCCTCCTGGCCTTTGACTAGCATCCCTGCCCTCATGGGCCCTGACAGCAACATCCTACTTTCAGTAGGAAGCAGTTACAGAGTGTATTGCCCCTTGTCCCCCAACACGCTGGAACGTTAGATCAAAAGGAAACTCCCCGGCATAGGGGATAAAATAGATACCCATAATGCCTACTGGCACACCAGGGAAGGTTCTTGTTAGAACCAAATGGACCCAGACCTATCAACAGGAAGATTCATTTAGCTGAATAGCTCTACAGTATGATAGGGCACTCAACCAGCTCTATGGAAAACAGAGGCTATTGTGTAGCTTTAAGAGGAAATTATTCTTACATAAACCACTCGGGAATTATTAGAGATAATCTGGTTGTACTAAAAAAATCATTGCAGAAAAAGAGGACCTGAAATGAAGTAAATACTGCTTTCCATTCTCATTTCTAGGTTCCTTCTAGATAGTAACTCTGATGCCAGCCATCATAGGGCCTTTGGCCTTCTGCTTCTTCTAATTGCTGTTGGTTCTTGCATCCCTGATGCCTTGGCTAAATGATAATTCCTGCCTGGGTACCATGAAGCTGATGGTTCTTAGATCCCAATATAAACAGGTACCCATCACAGAATCGAGGATTTGACTCAGGTTACAACTCAAGGGGAGAATGTGAGAACCAAAGTTACATTTTAAGTTTTAGTTACTATGTCACAGAGATCCAAGAAAGGCCTCTGATTTGCAAGCCTCTGGCCCAAGGACAGATAGGTCCTGAAAGGCCACTGATTTGCAAGCCTCTTGCCCTGCCCAAGGACACATAGGCCCTGAAATGCTGGAGGCCATTGTTTATGGGAGATAACAAGCGGAATGTTTTGACTCCCCTAATCAAGTTTGTTTGGCCCATCTGTGCCAGATGTGCTTGATCACATGTAGGTGGGAGGTTCACGGGCAGGAAATAAGTCAGGATGTATGCTTGGCTGAAGGTATGTTAGCGTGTGTGCTTGCCCTGATTGGACCTGATGGGAAATATTTAAGCCACTGCAAAACTTGTTTTGGGGCCATCTTTCTGGGGAACCACTAATGGGTCTGGCCAGAGTCCATCCACCTGGCCAATATTTAACTAGATCTTGCTTCAAATTTGACTTTAAGCTATGGTAGTGGTCTTATTCTTGACCGGTGGGATTAACAGGACATGTGTGTTCCACGCCTCCCCAGACTGGGCATACTGTGAGTGTGTTCCACTTACTCCCTGCTCTCCCAAAGACTGGACATGGCCTGAGTGTACTCTCCCCAACCCCCACCCCAGCTTCATGACTCTAAAATCTAACCCCATTATGAAGAATTAAGAAGGAAAAACTTAAACTCTTGTTTTAGAGGTGGGAAAGTAATTAGGGTTAAATAAGGCCATCAGAATGAAGCCCCTGACTGAATTCTGATGGATATTATAAAAAGAGGGACAGACACCAGACAGACAGACAGACAGACACACACACACACACACACACACACACACACACTCCTTAATTCTTGCCATGTGTCTTTGTCACCTATAAAATGGTGATTAAAAAAACATTTCTTTTCTTTATGAAGTTAGCTTGCTTCATGTGTTTCGATATTACAGTGAAATACTGGCAAGCACACCTCCCACAGATACTATTACATGCAAAGATATTTTGACTGGTCTTACCCTGATTTCAAAACACACTTATCTGCAAATTTAAAGGAATTCATTCAGTGTTTGTGCTGCTGTTGTGATGGTGGTGGCGGTGTGGTGTGGTGTGGTGGAGGTGTTTTCAGAACAGGAAGAGCCTTGATCAATGTAAGGACTTTTAATCAAGGCCGCAGATAACTCCCCCCATCACACTTTGGTGATGGTGATGGGTCCAAGCATCTTTGCCCATGTGCGGTAAGCCGAGCAGCAGCTACGTGTAAGCATCTCTGTCAGCGGTCATCCTCACTACCCAAGAGCACAAGCAGGGGTCGCTATCACTACCGAAGAGCACATGCCGGAGACGGTCACCTAAAGCAGGGTCAGTGAGGGTGACTGCCTAGGTCAGCACTATGGCTTGCTAGGCCAGGATGGCAAGAGCACCCTAGGCCTCCTCCGTGTATCTCTTGCTGCTTAGATGTGTCTCCATTAAGGGTGCATAACCCTTGCGAAGCCTCCTGTACTGAAGGAAAGCCAGCAGCCCCAGGAGACCGACGAAAGCTCCCAGTGTTCCCGTGACCACTGAGAGGGTCGTGGTCCAAACTGGAGCTTTCTCCTCTGAAAGGAAAACAGACAAAGAAGATTCTTTGATTACAGTTCCATCAACCAAACACTGCCAGGGAAGGAAAGAGTTGCTCACCTTTCACACGCACGTTTGTTTGCAAAGGAGAACTACCCTTGCTACGACGTCATCTTGTCTTTTCTTGCTGCTTATAACCACAGTGGTGTCTCAAGGAAGCTGGAAGCGCTACCCCATTATTGAAATAGGGCTCATTGTACTTTGTAAATCTGCTCCAGTAAATGTTGGGTCAAAACCTCTAAGGAAACGTAGACTGCTTTTGTGAGTTAGAAACTCATCTGAGGACATAAGAGCTAAGACGGTCTTCGGGGAACCCTTAAGTGAACAGCCGTCAGCAGGAAATTCTCCTATTGTCTCTACCCTTGTGATGGATGATAGACACACGTAAGAGATCAGATGGGTTCTCCAGACGGGGACACTCACCAGCAGAAGCAGAGCTCTTTGTATCCACTTAAATAGTTGTGAATGAAATCGAAGCCTCTCCCATGACAGATCTAATCCGCCCACACATCATGGCACTCTCCCATGACACTAACATGTTTTAGAAATGTATCTACAGTTTTGCGTCATTTCTTTACAACTCATCAGCAGCTGGAGGAGTTCATCCCTTCCAGGCCAACTGCTCTTTCCATGCCTGACCCTCATGGGGAAGACGGATCACATTTCTTCTCCTTCTCCAGCCCCAGCATGGGCCATGGCCTCTCTTGACTGCACCCCTCCAGAAGGGATTTCATTGTCCTCTCCTGGTAGGGCCCAGCAGCACTCGTTACTAGTTATAACTTCTTTTCCTTTTCATAATGCAATATTCTTATTAATTATTCCAGAACCTCGGGCACCGCGTTTTGGTATTTACCTTCCACCGTGTCTCCTAACTCTGTTCAGGGCCATCCTCTGTCTACTCACCCAAACCAACTTCAACACCTTTAAAAAAAAATTCTGATAACCCAATGAGTCCAATGTGTGCTGGTCACACTCCCCGGAACATAGTCATCCACTGGAACGTGCTGGACCCATCAGTGTTCACAGGCTTCAAGAAAACTGACCCCCCCCCATGCCAGAAGCCAACAGTGAAGAGTGTCTCAGTCACCTGTGGGGGCTCATGTGACTGCCCACCTCAGTGGAAAACAGCAGACTGCATTGATCTTGTGTGGGTGACTGCGTGTGAGCTGGTGACAACTTCTTAAAACAGGGTGTTTTGCCTGTTTGTTGCACGCTTTTTACCCCAGCACTTGGGAGACAGAGACGGGCAGATATCTGCGAGTTTGAAGGCTGTCTGGTCTACAGAGTACATAGCAAGTTCCAGGCCAGCCAGGACCACATGGGGGGGGGGATCCTGTCTCAAAAATAACCTACCAAACCACGGGTTTTTATTTTGGCATTTATTTAATGAGACACCAAAAACGACTGACTGCTTCTTATTCCAAGCCCTGCTTGCCTTTTAAAAAATTATTTTTAAGTTACGGTAACATACGTATTATTGTAATTTAAGGAAGGCAGCAAGAGAAAGATGCTATGTGACAGGGTTCAAGCAGAGGGGTTTTTTATTAGGGAAAGGGATTGTAAAAAGGGGACAGGGAAAGGGAGGAGACTGGCCTCTGGAGACAGGAGAAGCAGCAGAGAGAAGGGATAAGGGGGGACAGAGAGTGAATGGGGAGAGAGAAAGAGAAGGATGTGGGGTGGGCGGGGCCCTTTTTAAAGGGAGCACAGTGAATGTGCTCAGGTGGTGCTCTTAGTGGCTGCAGCTGAGGGCGGATCCTGTCAGAACCCCAAGGACAGGCCAGCACATGTGCCTGAATACTAACACATATAATACAGATTTTTACCACCATAGCCTTTTTTATAATGTAGTTTGGTGGTATTAAAATGCCTTCATGTTTGTATATGACTGTCATCACCATTGTCTATGAAACATTTCTTGTTTTATGAAACTGAGATATTGCAATAAACCCATGATGATTCTCATTCTTCTATAATGCATAACGACTCTCTCTGCCTAGGCCCTTCTGGTATGGCAAGGTGTGGCAACAAAAGGACTTTCATTCCACTCTCTGAAGTTAAGATTATTTGGACCCATAAAAGAAGCAAGGCAACAGTAGGCACGCTGACGGGAGAAAAGGCATCCCAATTCATGAGCGCGTAAGTGCATGGGAGTCCCACACGATGTAAAACTCTGAGATCCATCTGACTGGAGCTGAAGAGTGATTGTAGGGAAGACTAAGCGGTTTTCTGGGGGAAATTAATGGTTTTCTGGGCACACGCTCTCTGACTTCATGCTGATGCTCTGGAGCATCTAGCTTTTACACAAATGGGAAGGAAGGGCAATAAAGATGGCAGGGAGGGTGTAGGCAGCATCAGACACATCTTGGTTCTCTTTCGGTTGAGCGCACTCAGCCTGCCAAGACGTCACACACTCTGAGAGATCACCTGAGGGAAACTACGTTTTCCTCTTCCAGCCTTCAGGTAAGACACCTGAAGGTAAGCCACCCTTCCCCATACATCCTTCTCCATCTTCAGTCTAAAACACCTGCTCGGCTATTGGCATCTACCAGTCAGGTGCAGTTTCACAGCCTCCTCCACAGAGTCCTTCCCAAGCCCCTCGCTGCTCTCTACCTCTGGTCAGGAGGGGATCAGACCATCTCTCCCCACAGCACACCTGTGGGTACAGGTTTATTTGGAGATGGAAGCATTTGACATTGGGCAAGATCTAGAGCTTCCTCAGCTACTAATGGAAAAACTCACAAGATACAAGAACTGATAAAAAATCCCTCCAGGGGAAACTGTCAGCCACAAAGCCGCACACACATACAAAAACAGCCCTAGCTGCCATTACTTCCCCCAAGATTTCCTACCCATGGTTCACCACTTCTCAGAGACGGAGGTCTTTGTGATGTCACATCTCCACGATTTCTCATCCTCAGCTTAAAGTGGCACCTACACTCCCAGGCCATTGGCTTCTTTGGACTTTCCCTTCTGTTCTAGAAAGACATCCTCCCCTATTTTCAACCCGTGGAAACCAGCTTTCCAAACGTCTACAACTTAAAAGCAAGACTAAGAAAGCAGGGACTGAAAACATGTCATAACCTCCACTTATCCCAGTCTGCTATGAGGCCCAGTGCCATCATGGGTAAACGTGTCCCTGCAACCTTGGCATAGTCAAGGCCGCTTGAAAATGCCTGGTGCATATGGAGGGATACTATTTCAGCCCAGACCCATGGAGGAGGGCCTAGGCCCTCCCCCAAATAATGTGACAGACTTTGATGATCCCCCATGGAAGACCTCACTATCCTTGGGGAGTGGGTGGGGGTGGATGGGGAGGACAGAAGGGAGAGAGAATGGGGGGGGTTTTGATATGTAAAATAAGATTGTTTCTACATTTAAAAAAGGGGGGGAAGAAAATGCCTCGTGCCGTTGCAAAGTAATTTCACAATATCAATCAGACAGACAACAGTCGGCCTTCGAAGCCATGGTAGGGAATCTCCATACAGGCTCTGCATTGGTAATAACAATCTTCTAGAATGCTGTACTCTATTACTTTCCACAACGGCCCAGGTTTTACTAATTTCTGGTCTTCGAATCTGGCAGCAAGCCCAAACTTGTCTCCATAATTGCCACACTGCCTGCCTGCAGATGAGCGTGCCAATCCCTCCCTGCCCACAGGTGAGTAAAAGTTGCTGACTTCATCAGTTACACATTTCACTGGCCATGGGGCAGGGTTATGGATCTGATTAGTTCAGATAAAACTGTCAAGTCAGGCAGAAGGATAAGACAGTGCCCCTGTAGAATAAGGTCTCTTAACAACTTACAGTTTTCCCAAATGATCTGCAGCTAGCCCCTTTCTGGTGTTTAATTGGTGGCTTAATGGCTCACCTTGTTAAATCCAAGATATTCTCGAAAATAGCCAATAAACTTAACTCAGCCTGAATGCTTCAATTAACAGTCTTGCTTGACATTAAAGAGAGAGAGAGAGAGAGAGAGAGAGAGAGAGAGAGAGAGAGAGAGAGAGAGAGAGAGAGAGAGAACGCTCCCTTAGAAGTTGAGTGAGTCACCCACTTAGAAGCTGTGTTCCTTACCTGGCAGATCAATGGCATAATTGTAGCCAAGTTGGTCTGTGGTTAAGAAAAGTTCCTCATTAGTCACTGGTGGGAAGAAGGGAACCATGTTATACATCCGATTGTGGCCAATGGGCGCCAGCTCCTGAGGCCAGGCATCTGTGGGAGGGTTGTTTCTTTTCAGCCACTCGTCGAAGATGGCATCTGTAAAGGAGTGTAGGACCTGCAAGACAGCAGAACACGGTGTGGAGCAACTAACCCAACCCGAGCCTCCTGACAGTGGAGCACAGTTCTTCACACAGGATTGTCTGTACCCAACCTAGCCCTGGTGCCATGCACTGAAAACGTACTGAGGCTTTCAGATGAACCTTGCAATGACATGTGGACACATCTCCTCAAGGGAGGCTGTAAATCCTTTGATCGAGAGAACAGATGAGAGTTCACTTTGCTGATTTCACACTGGTTTGGAAACATCTGAGCTCTTCAGCATGGTTGTGCTAACTATGACTTTCAGGAGGAAGGCAAAGAAGATAAATACCGACTTTACTCAGTATTCAGATGTTTTAGTTTAGCAGAAAAGATGAGGTAGCACTTACCATTATTGTAAAATAAACGAGCAATAAAAAAATAAATAAAAACATTGCAAGAGGATTTTCAGATATTGCTCAACCTTCACCTACTCATTTTACAGACCTTTCCCTTGAATTCTTAGTATTGCATAGCAATAAAAGTCTAAAAATGCTTGAATACACAGAATGCTCTTCTTTATTTTCTCAAAGAAGCTGTAAAATCCTTTGCAAACCCTGCCTGCAATCATTATATGTTTCCAAACATCACCAGCGCAACCCCCATATGCACAGCCCTGGTTGTTTTTTTAAACAGGGTGTAAAATCAAGAGTTCAATTTTTTAACAGGATGTAAAAGCAAGAGTTCAGCTGAGACTTCGCATGTAGCAGTGAGACTTCCTCTTTGTTTCCCAGACTGCAAGTTCAGAGTAGGATCAGGATAGCGCCCGTTCTTGCCCCTAAGTCCTAGAGACAGCCACCATATACTCGCTCTACCTCTGAGAAGAAGAGAGGAAGCTGGAAAGAAGTCCAACTCAGTTACACGGAGACACCACACAGAGAAGCCAAAGGCAACAAAGGCTAGTCAGACTACAGTCCCGATGAATTGCGATCCTGACACACACTGGCTTAGTAAAGCCATTCCAGAGTCTCTGTCCTAACTCATAAGAAACCGTGAGAAACTAAATGGCCATGGAAGGCTTCAGGAGTAAGTTCTGGGTCATCTCCAACACCACCGCAGGCAGCCAGAGGAAAGGGGGAAGGTCTACACAGCCTGGGACAGACTTACACTTATCCAACATGCAGGGAGAAGGCTGTTTCCTGAACCCTGAAGCTGGCGCTGAGGAGGAGGAGTCAATAAGGTTTAAGACGAGGAGGACATGGCTCATAAGCGGTGACCTTGGGAAGAAAGCACTGAAAACATCACGGTGGACACCAGTGGGACATCCATCACCCCTTGTGGGGAGACGGAGGTAACTGCGCAGCAACTATAATAGCTTCCGTTTGCGTGGGAAATGGTAGTGAATGGTGACTGTCACTCAACTGTAGCGTCAACACTGCTGCTGGCTTCTTGAAACCGTGACTTATGGAGGAAGAATGAAGGCATTCATATTTTTATGGCTACACGCAGGCTACTATTCTTCTGGAATCATAACTTTTTAGATCTAGTTACAAAGAGATGAGCATTAAGGAAGGCATATGGTACATAATTAGCACTTAACAAATATACTAATTAACATTGTTAGTGCTTGTTCCATGCCAAACACTGCCCTAAGAACTTTACATATAATAACATTATTGAAACCTCAAAACAGCCTGATTTAATGGACGTTATCTTCATTCAGTGCTCAGGCTACTGTAGGGAAGGACCACGGCCTGGGTGCCTCAGACACTACAAACTCCCAGATCTAGAAGACGGAGTTCCAAAGTAAGACGCTAGTAGCATTGGTTCCCTCCTGTGATCTGTGTCCCTGCTTGGTTGTGGGCCTCTGCCTTCATCCCCACATGATGCGTACTGGTTATATCCCGGCTCCTGCTGTTTGTATAGACATCAGTTACCACCGTTTGACGGTCCCTCTGGAAGTCACGCTGAAATCCTGTTGCCACTGAAGGTAAATGGTCCTGAGGGCTCTGACCACATAGATGGGCTAACACTGTGATTGTGGGGGTGGTTACCATGGGAGCCATTTCACATAGATGGGTTAACACTGTGATTGTGGGGTGGTTACCAGGGGAGCTACTTCACATAGATGCATTAACACTGTGATTGTGGGGTGGTTACCATGGGAGCTACTTCACATAGATGCATTAACACTGTGATTGTGGGGTGGTTACCATGGGAGCCACTTCACATAGATGCGTTAACACTGTGATTGTGGGGTGGTTACCATGGGAGCCACTTCACATAGATGCATTAACACTGTGATTGTGGGGTGGTTACCATGGGAGCCACTTCACATAGATGGGTTAACACTGTGATTGTGGGGGTGGTTACCATGGGAACCACTTCACGTAGATGGGTTAACACTGTGATTGTGGGGGTGGTTACCATGGGAACTACTTCACATAGATGCGTTAACACTGTGATTGTGGGGTGGTTACCATGGGAGCTACTTCACATAGATGGGTTAACACTGTGATTGTGGGGTGGTTACCATGGGAATCACTTCACATAGATGCATTAACACTGTGATTGTGGGGGTGGTTACCATGGGAGCTACTTCACATAGATGCATTAACACTGTGATTGTGGGGGTGGTTACCATGGGAACTACTTCACATAGATGCGTTAACACTGTGATTGTGGGGTGGTTACCATGGGAACCATTTCACATAGATGGGTTAACACTGTGATTGTGGGGTGGTTACCATGGGAACCATTTCACGTAGATGGGTTAACACTGTGATTGTGGGGTGGTTACCATGGGAGCCATTTCCTCATAAAGAGAACAATTTCTGCCTGTTGTCCCTCCTTTCTCTGACGCACACTCACGTTCTGCCTTTCCGTCACAGCTGCCTTGCTTCGATACTGGGTGCCTGTGCCATGCTCTTGGACTTTCTAGCCTTTAGAACCATAAAAAAAATGTATTGTTTACAATGCATGCAGACTGTGCAATTCTGTTATAGCTGCGGGAAGTAGACTAAGTTAGGCCCCTTGCATATTTGGATTAGGGACCTACACTCCTCTAATATGACTTTATCTGAGCTAATTACATCTAAACAAAGTCATTTACTAAGCAGCTAGGGATTAGGATTTCAGTGAGGTGGGGGCCACAATCTAGCCAGAATATAAGGGACAGAAGAATTAAGAGATTGGTTCAAAAGCACACCGATAGCATGTGAGGGAGTAAGACTTTGGACCCAGGAAGCCCCACTCTAAAGCCAGAGTTCCTTTTACGATAAAACGCTTCTTTCATTTTAAATTCAACGTGTGCATCTGTACCTGAGGGCCAGGGGTATGAGCATGTGAGCTAGGGAGCCCTAGAACGGGAGCTACAGGGTGATTTTGGATCACCCAACGTGGGTGTTAACTTGGGTCTTCCGAGAGAGCAGTATAGTCTAGTCGCTGAACATCTCTGCACCCCATCCTCACACCTTTAAAGATGAAGCCAGAGTTCTTAACCCACACGTTTATTTTCACACACAATAAACTGCACTGTTTCAGCCATGAATCTAACTCCCAGGACCAACCACAATAAGACATTAGTCTTAAGGTGTATTCTCGGGTTTGGCAAGGAGGAGGAAGTACAGAATCTGACTTAGGAGTTCCTAAGCCAACTGGGAACTTTAATAACCTCTGAGTCCAACTCGGAGAAAAGACTGTGATTAAGGAAAAAGGCCAGAGACTCTCGAGACTCCAAGGAAGAGGCAGTGCCTGGGCTGCAAGAGGCGAGTAGCTTGTAGAAATATGGTAGAATCCTCCCAGTGCAAAGCATATAATTAAAAAAGCAGACAAAACTCCAAAGCAATTTATAATCGGCAGAGATAAAAAGAAAGGAGGAAAATAATGAAAGACAATAGGTCTCATAAGGGCCATAAAACATACAATAAATGCTCTAGCACAAACTATGTACGGAGTGCCCAATTTACAGGGTGCAATAAAAGAGGGGGAGCAGTGTGCTCTGAAAAGATGCAAAGAATATAATAAATACAGTGTGAGTAATAAAGAATATAATAAATACACTGTGAGTAATAACTTACCCAAGGCTACCAAGAGACGCAGCGTAGCTCACACAACGAGTGTTTTTGCTAAGGCTTAGTTCCTCAGCAGGAAACCGTGTGCTGTTCTTGGAACATTCATTGTATCTTTGTTAGACGCAAGTTGAAAATTAACTTAGGTATTGTTGTTGTAATAGCCAAATGTTATTTCAGGGTCGGATACGAGGGGCAAAAATCAAGTAAATAAATGTACATTATTACGGACCTTTACCCACGACCTTGGGACATAACTGTATTTTGGTATTAAAAATTTAACATTTTAGAAATAATTGTGGCAAAATTTTGCACAGCTCTGTGTTCTGCTCCGTTCAAGCAGAAAAGAAGGATAGGTACAAGAAGCAGGGGGCCTAGGCCCCGTCTCAGAAGCCCTGCTGGAGAAAATGTGAGCACGCGGCTGAAAAACTTTTTAACGTAACCCTTGCCGGAGAAAGCAGTAAATCAGCACGCATTCTTCTCACTGGCGAGAAAATACCATACAGGAACGAATATGAGGCTTGAACTCAGACGGCTGTAAATTCAGATTCTTGCCGTAGTAGAGAAATGAGAAGACTTTCTGCACCTGGAGAAAAGGTGCTTGGGAACAGCTGAGCCCAGCTGCAAAAGGATGCGTACTTCATCAGAGACGGGTAGCGCGGCGGCTTTGTAACTCCCCGGAAGACATCCTTTGTAATCAGAGAGGCTCCCATGGGGGAAACATGTTACTGCTATAGGGTCTACACTCTGAACTCTGGGGTGAGTTCGGACTGAGTGTTGAAAGTCACAAGGCAAGCATCCTACAGGGGTGGGTAGACATGAGGACACGCAGGTGCTGTGCCTTAGTTAAAACCTAAGGTGAAAGACATAAATAAACAAAAAGTTGAGCCAGCCTGATTCAGTGAAGGAATTCCTATGGGCACTGCCTTTTCAAACCTATTAAGGTGAGAAGTAGTGGCATGTGCCT